AGTATTCAGAAGCAATTTTTCCTCCTGTGTTGCATTTCAAATTTAATTTATAATATTTTTATTATTGCTATTTCTGGCAGTTCAAGATGATCTGTTTAGTTCTATTGAAGCTTGCATGATGTTTAAATCAGTTTAGATACAAAATGAAGTTTAGAAAAGTACATTATTCATGTGGCAGAAGTATTATGAATCTTTTATTTTGTAACATTAAAAATGAAGAATCATTAGTTAAAATAGTATTATAAATTAAAATCTCTCATTGTGTGCAATTTTAACTTAACAGCATTATTGAAAAATAGTGCTCTATATAAAATCATTTTTAATTTGTAGTTTTGTGTGGAAAATTTTAAAAACTATCGCTGATGAATATTTAATATTTATAGTATTTGAAGGAATATGTCAAATATTTTAAGAAATTTTGTATAGCTAATCACAAGTTGATAATGTTAAATATTTTTATATTACTTTTGAACTAAAATTCCTCTACTATAAATAATATTCTTATAGATAGTTGCTTTGAAGTTTTTTGTTGACCTTGAATAAATAAATTTGCATTGTATAAATTTCAATAAAAAGTAGATGCTATCATCTTTGAGTTAGTATTTGTGTTAGTAACATCATGGTCATTTTACTTTTTTGGTAATTTGTCACACACAAACAGAACCCTAAATCCCATGGTCCTCATCTAAACCTAGCAGAAACAGATGGACATTAACTGCAACAAGTGATAATGGAAATAAAGTTTCTTTGTCAAGATGTGTGGAAGACTAAGAGAAAGAACTCTCTGCTTTGTTCCTGTTTCTGTAGCCTCACTTCTCTGAATACTTAATGTTTTTCTGAGTATGACATTCAACCATAAAGACACGCTTTAGGCATATCCTGTTGCTGTGATGCCTTCTGAGAAGATTCAGCATGCAAATGGGGAACTAGTAGATTCATGGAGTGTGGTTTAGAAACTGAGGCATTCACATGTGGCATCAGGCAACCTTAGGTGGGAAGGAATGGGTATAATAATATTGCCAACTAGTTATGTAGATTAAACTTGGTCAGCCAGAAACACTTTATCACAGAATCTCTTAAACAGTACACAGTCATTGTCAGCTCTTATTAAATTACCATAATTCTATTTTCATGCCAGTAACATACTTACAATCAGTGTTGAAGATTAGAAATCTCCTTTGGCTTAAAATCTACATAGATGATTTAAGTATTATAAAGATTCTTCTTCTTCTTCTTCTTTTTTTTTTTTTTTTTGAGTCAGGTCCTCTTGACATAGTCCTGGCTGTCCTGGAATCACTATGTAGATCAGGCTAGCTTTGAATGCACATAGACCCACCAACTGCCCTGTAATTTACTATATAGACTAGGCTAACCAGGAATTCACAGAGACCTGCCTGCCTCTGCCTCCCCAGTGCTGGGATTAAAGGCATGCTGTTGGTGAATACATGGGCTTATAAACATTGATGAATTACTTTATTGTTGCCTAAGTCTTTTGTGACGAGTTAAATCTAATTTCTTGAATACTTACCTCAGTAAATCTACAGGAATATTCCTGTAGATTAATGGTAAATTTCGTTGTTCTCTAGGTGAGCCTGCTCTCATTCATTTAGCAGCAGCTTGCAACTTATTCCCTGATAGTGTCTGTTTGGAGTTTCATGAAACTTGTCAAAAATTATTCATAAATAATAGACACCATCAGACCAATTTTTAGTTGAAGGGAAATAGAGACTCCCTTCAGTTCCCAAAAGTGATATTATAGTATTTATCACACGACTCTTGTCGATGGTATCATTCTATACTGTTATATAGTGTTTCTCCATCTAGTTCAAAGCACCTTCTATTGTCATATTGGGCATTATTCCCTCATGGAATTCTATTTTATATTTTAGTATTAAACCATTGACTCTGTGATGTGGGAAGTCCTTCTGTATATGTGTTGCTTTTATTGGTTAATGAATAAATAAGCTGCTTGGGCCTATGACAGGGCAGAATACAGCTAGGCAGGAAAACTAAACTGAATACTGGGAGGAAGATGGCAGAGTCAAAGAAACACTATGTAGCCCCGGAACTTTTCTGATAAACCACAATCCTTGTGGTTAAATATAAAATAATAAAAATGGGTTAATTCGAGATATAAGAGCTAGCCAATAAGAAGCCTAAGATAATAGGCCAAGCAGTGTTGTAATTAATAAAGTTTCTGTGTCATTATTTCATGTCTGGGCAGCTGGGAAATGAACAAGCAACTGAAGGAGATAGACACAGCCTGCAGGAACCTTGCCTGTAGACCATGACCTTGTAACAATACATAAAATAATAGAAATGGGTTAATTAAAGATATAAGAGCTAGTTAATAAGAAGCATGAGAGAATAGGTCAAGAAGTGTTGTAATTAATTCTGTATGACTTTTTTCGCGTCTGGGCATCCGGGAAACAAATAAGCCTTCTCCTACAACTGTGGGTTTTATACTTTTGTAATCTAGAATTTACCCAGCATTTAACATAATTGTATTTTATGCCCACTTTAGTGGCAGCTATGCTGTTAATTTAAATACTTGTCTATAGCCTTCTAATGAACTCCAGCAGAGTCCTTTCAAATCCACTACACTTTCTTGGGTTGTTTTCATCAAAGAACTACACTATTACTACAAGGATAGTCACAAAACCCAAAGGGCTGACCAGGGTCCTTTTGCTCTGGGACTCATAGGAATGCTGGAAGATGGAAGATATTTACCAGTAGATAACTACCTGTGAGCACTAAGAGGAGCAGGGGACTCTCAGGAACTTGTTTTCCTTTCGTGATGAGCTAGGTCAAGTAGAAGAAAAGCCTGGCCAAGAGACTGCATGGGGTCGGCTTGCTTCTCAGCTGTGTCATATATTACAAGAAACATTAGCGACACTGCAATTGTTTTTCATTCTGTAGTTTCCTCACATACGCAAATTCCAGATTCTTATTCTAAAACACTGGCAATTTCTCAAGCTTCATAACTAGCCTAAGAGGCTACATTACCTAATTACCATCCCTTCGTCCCAGCACAGGTAAGGCTTCCTTTTTTAGAACCCTCTGTGTCTTTTCTGCCCTGGTAGTATAATCTTTTCAACTGCCTTGTAATACCTCTGTAATCTACTTGTCTCTTTCCTTCATGTCTCCAAGGTAAAGGCATTTCCTTTAAGTCTACATTTCTAGGATAATACATCGTATATCCTCTCAGCAAATTCTTGTTGAATGAACAAACAACTGCATGAGAGAATGGATAATTGAGTGACTAACAATAGGCTTTCTGCTGTAAAGAAACTCATCTCGCTGGAGAGAAAAATAGCTACACATTCTAATTCAATGTGTATAAGAGACTAGGGGACAAAACTAGCGTATTTAGTTTTTTTTTTATAGTTAAAAGTTTTAGAGAATTACTACGTTAATTTTAGTGACTGTTTGACAAAGGAAGTTGCATCAAATGAATATGTAAATGTCAAAGACACTTATGGCTAGGAAACTTGGCATAGTCTCAGAGTACTTCAATGCAAAATTAGACCTAATATTGCTGGTTGTTTGTTTTGTATTTGATCTTTACCTTGTTTACTTTGGCATGTAAATGATAAATTGGCATGAAAATAATAAAGTGCCAGTATAGAACTATCCCATGTTGTGGGATAGTCTTTCTGTACACTGTCCATATACGCTGCTATGGTTCTTGGACAGTTCCCATCATGCTTGCTGTGTTCCAAGCCTCACTTCCTCATGCCACTTTATAGCCACACCCCTAAAATTGCTAAGGTTGCTTCCACCTCTTATCTTAATTTCTATAGCTACATGTTAGTTGCTGCTTATAAAGAAATTTTTAAGATAAAGATGGAAGTTGTAAGTAAAATTCAAAGCTACCAAGATGATATCAGTTAATATGAATAATAATAAAATATTTATTTAATTCTATTATATGACTAGTTATTATATTATATTTATTTAATTCTATTATATTGACTAGTTAAGAAGAGGGAAAGACCAATAGTAGTGTGCCTTCTTACATAAAAATACAAAGGTATATTCTAGGGATGCTATCATAAATGGCAAACATATTTTATCATTTCCAACAAATATAAGTTGGTCACATAAGCCATAATATGCACAGTTCTGTCAAACGTATCTTATACAAGAGGTTCTGGGCAGATAGCAATGCAGTTCTACCTGTGGTAATTACTACTCAGAAAAAGTGTTTTTATTAATTCAAATTTTTTCAGTCCTTCCAATAGGGGTTCAGGCCAAATTTACGTTTCTTTGAAATTGTGGGTTGTTTATACAAACGCCTGCTGCCAAACAAAGTTGTATTAGAGGAATTGCTTCCTTGACAAATTTTAGAGCCGTGAATCCCTAACATGGTAAATGCACTGAAAGCAAAAGCTAGGGACTGCCTAGGTGGTTATTTTGACATAAATACAAATCATCTTTATTTATTCTTTGAGGGAAGACTTTTGAACAGTTTCTTCTTTTAATCACAATTCAGGTTGCAATATTTATTTGAAAAATGATAAAATATTGTCACTGTGAGATGCTTTGTTTCGCTCTAAGATTTTGTCATGTCAGACACCTCTTCTTTCTTTCAACATGCATACAGCTCAATTTAGTGGAGCAAGTGCAAAAGGGGAGGACACAGTTAGGAATAATTCTCCGTTAGACCTCTAAAGTTCCATTAATCACATCTGATCCATTTCTTTAAAAAATGCTTTATATTGTCAGGGTGGACAGCAAGTCAATAAATGTTCAAAAATGATAAATGGCGGCATAATTACCTCTGAGCAATAAACAATGTCAAGTTAGTTCAGTTTTGCCCAGTCTAGTAACAGGCAAAAATCACTGCAGTAGTTTTGTTAATTATTCCTTAGGAGTTTTTCAATATCTCAAGGCATTGAGATAAATGTCTTACCGTTATTCATCAGAGAGAAAAGTATTCATTATGGAAAATAAATAACCCCATAGTAGTTGTAAAGTATAGTAAAACAATGTCCTACCTGGGTTACTTTCTCTGTCACATTGTGTGTCCGTTCTTTGACCTTGGGTGCAATAATAGTTTTATCTGAAGAGGGAGGGGATGTATTCTTTTTTTCAGTTTTGACATCTGAAAAGTTCAGAGTAAGCTGAGGAATCTTGTTGATGGTGCTGTATTTGTTGAGGTTTGAATCCGATGTGGACCCCAGCAGACTTGACTTGATATGATTAAAAGGCCCTAGAAAGATTGGAAAGTATTTGTAAAAATAATATCAGAAGAAATAGAAAAAATAAAAATAAAAGATGGTCTTGGATGCCTGGCTAATGATCCATGACTGTGTGAGTCCCATGACTAAGTGCAGTCAGTTTATGTGTGAACACCTTTTATCACAAAGGAGGACATGTGAGAATCAAAGGGAAAATTTTGGTACTAGAAGTACGAATGCCAACCTCTATCGTGAACTGGCTTCTTTTATTAAAGGCTGAAAAAAAAAGAGAGAGAGAGAGAAACAAAACTAAACAACAAAATAAACCAAAAACCCCGCATGCCCTGCTGCTGGCTGGATTCTACCTCAAGTATTCCTATAGATTTTGTTTCCTATTCTGGGGGTGACTTAGGGAAGCATTGACCTAGTTAGGATCATGTTGGTCTTGACTTTTGTGCATCTTTCATTTACGTTCCTCTCTTTGACATGTCACAGAGAACGGACAAGCCAGTTACTTTCTTCAGATGTTCTACTACCTACATGAGATGATCCATGGAGTTTCTACGAGGTTCATGCCTAGATGATGTTGAAAATGACTAAGTGTCTTGTGTGTGTGTGTGTGTGTGTGTGTGTGTGTGTGTACTGATGTTTTGTGTTGAGATCCTCAGGATTCTTTTTGGGACCTTGATATCTTTCTTTCCATTTTATTTTCAGTTACATAAAAAAATATCCTGTAACTAAAGTACATAAGGATGTTGCTATAGCAAACACAGCTTAAACTAGACATAACCATAGTCAGGAGACAGAGTATGTCTGGATTGGAGGTTGCCAAACACCTTCAACAATCTGTTCCTACAAACACAGCTGGGAAGTGGCCAAGCCCCCTGTTCCCTTGTGGAAGATGAGGAGCCTTAAGCAGGGCCATTTTCTTTATAGACAAATCTATTATTTGCTATTTTTGATGTCAAGAAATAGTCTGGAGTTCTTATGTGTTGCTTATTCTATGTTATAGATCTTAAAATTCAGCATCATGAAGAACTGTTTCCAAGTCCTGAGGGCATGAGTATTACACAGTGTATTTTTGGCTGGGAGAGTGGGGGTGGGTGGGGGAAGACTCCCTTTCAGTTGCTTCTGCCTGTCTCGTTATCTGAACTTGCTCTACCACCATCATCATCCGCTGGTGCCTCCAATTAGCACTCCAATGTTGGTGCCTGAAGTCTTTAAAAAAATTAAAAAGCATAATAAAAAGCGTTCTTCATATGGGGTTTTCCAGTTTTGTATATTATTTTTGCCTCAATTTTAGGCACATTGTTAAAATTTGTAACTCTAGGATTTTGGACTTTGTAAACACTGTTGTCTTCCTCCCCACAGAAATGCTGTAATTTTTTTTTTTTTTGGCCTGGATAATTTATCTGCACCTAGGGATATGAATAAGCAATGTAAGTGGTAACATTCAGGCATACAACAAAGTTGTATTAAAATCGTTACAGTTCGCCTTTTGAATTTATGTCTAGATCACCCTTCTTTTTGTTGTGTTTTTGTAGGAACTTGTCTTCACAGATGATCTAGGATGTTAATTGGTAGGCAAAATATGTTAGTGTAGTTTTATTACCCTTATGGTTATTTCTGGTCACCCCCTGGAATTAGGTATAGTTATGGCCATAGGGTCTGAAATATTGACCAAGGGATATTTGTCAGGATGCCTTTTGGCTGTCACAACAATGGAAGAATTTGAATGGCACAGCTCTTATTCCTACTTTGCCAACCTGCTGCATGTGTTTCAAGGGACATTCATATAGTGGCAATGCTTGAAATGATCTGAATATCTAATGAGTTCCCAATATAGCCACACAATATGCTTTATAGGATTGCAGTAGTATTAATTTTCTAGAGCTACAGCTATCATGAACATCGAATATCATACACTACTATAGTGTCCTTACATAGTTGTATTAGAAGTATGTCACTATTTTGGAAAATTATGTTATCTAGAACCTCAATCTTTGTAGCATTTGAATGCTCAACACAAAATCTTAGCGTTCTGGTCTCAGTTGTTTCTATGCCTGCCATGTTTAAATATGTAAAACAAAGGATTGGAGTGTTCTCTGATAACTAGAAGCAAAATTAAATTTTCAGGTAACTACCAGAATTACACTAACGTTCTGAATAAAATGCCTTTTAAAATAATTAACATCGTTATTTTTTTTTCCAAAATGCCAACTGGAAAGAAAACCCACACATTAAACGCTAAAATCTGGGGTGGTTTTCAGTGTCAGTGTCTTAGCACTGTAGAAGACCTTCCTCAGCTTCTTTGTTGTGTGTTGATGGTTAGTTCACCTACTGTTACACACTATTTCTTTTATATATAATTATTTGTTTGTGTGTGTGCATATGCTATGATTATTGGGAAGCACATATAGAGGTCAGAGAATAAGTTTCTAGTTTTCTTCTTCTAATGAGGGGATGGAGCTTGGGTCAGCACTCTTGAGCAGTAAGTGCTTTCACTTGTGAATTTATCTTTCTAGCACTACTCATTCTGAACAAAGCATGTGGTTGCAAGGTACACCTTGATGAAAATATACCTTAACATTTAGCAATGTGACTAGCTTCTGTGCAAGTCAATGTTATTACATCTTACCATAGAGAAGTAGTCTGAAAGAATGTTTAAGGGAAGGAAAGCTTGCTTGTGAGAATATCACACTTCCTAATTTCCCTTTCATATTCTCTTATTATTATTTTGAGGATTTAACACATTTAGAAATTTATTAAATCTCAATTTATTATTATTATGATTTCTCTCTCACTTCACTATTTTTCTGTGGGGTCTTCAATCATGTCCTTAATTTCTTGGAAGTCAACTTTTTCAACTGTAACTAGGATTATGTCCTCAGCATATTTATATATAAACACTAGCATAGTAATATTCATATAATCTGATTAAAAACTGCTTTGCCTTTGTGAGCCCTTTATAGTAAAGTTAGAGGACCATGTTATTATTTCAGGAATGCTTAATTATCTCTGAATTGCATTGCAGGGAAGTCAAGTGAGAAAAACAAAATACTTGCTGAGAAAAGGACTGTTCAAACTGAAGCTGAGAAACTCTTTGATAAACTGTCTTACCCAGACGCATCCCTGGATTTGCAACCTCCCTACAGTCCTTATTTTACTGTCTCTCGTTTACTATGGGAAAAAGAAATCACCTACATTGTCATTTCATTCTGTTTGCTTTGGATTTTTAGTTTGAAAGAGTTAAAGAAAACTTTCTTTTGAGTGAATATATTTATTGAATTCAGTATAACAGTGTATTTAAAATAAATTATGCGCCCTCACTCAGATAGGGCATCCCAAGCGTCTTTTCTCATGTAGAACAGAAAGTGGTGTTCTTCTTTCTCTTGACTTTGAATCAAATATTTACACCTAGAAGTCTTATAGACTCTGCAAGCTATAGTCTTTTCCCAAAATCTATATAAATTCCAGTGGAATATATTCACAATGTTTTAAGGCAGGAATTAATAATATTCTTTTTTTCACCAATTCTAAACTAAGCTGACAGAATATGAGGCCAAAAAGGTACTAGTCAAAGACCAGAAATCAAAGTACAAGGTTTCCTACCTCCTAGGTCTACATTCAGAGAGGCCTTGGCTGAGGACTTAGAGTTGATAGGCAGCCTCACTGACAATGATCATGAATAGATGGGATTTGGGATTCTAATGAAAGGAAGGAGATTAGCCTGAAAAACAAAGTAAATGAATTTACAGAGAAGGATCAGGCAGAAATAAGGGGACATGATCGATTCAGTTGAGGGGACTATAAGACTCAAAAGTGTACCAGGAGATTGACGTTCTGTGAGGGATAACAACGTGAGTATGCCAACCTGTGATTAGGAAACAGAAAGCAGGTGACCAGGGAGGCTAGAGCAACAGGTGGGTAGATTTTAGCACCAGTACCTGATGAAGTTATAAAATGAGCTACGTTTTCCAACTATGCATAGAGATCCAGCAATAACTAAGAAGAATTTCAGATTTTAAAATACTTAAAATGAGTATGCTGAGACTGTTTAAATCAAGAGTAAGAAAATGCTTTATTATTATTGTTGTGTGTGTATGTTTGTGTATGTGTGTGATTTGTATTTATGGGCACAAATGTCAAGGCATATGCATATGTTCATCATAGGGCGGTTTCATGGCATAGGTTTTCTCTTTACATAGTTGAACAAGGTTTCTTGTAATCAAACTCAGGTTGTCAGGCTTTCATTTTCTGGCAGCTAGGGCCTTTACTTTGCCATCTTGTTGGACATGTACAGTATTTCTTAGGGCATTGAATTACATTTGTTAAATGTAATGAAACATACAACTAATCCATATTAACATTAGCAAAAATGCCAGCGTAGCATTGGCAATGACACTTTGCCAAAGAACCCTGCGAATAAGCATCAGCCAAAAAGTGCTGTAGCACTCAGAAAAAGACAGAAAGAAACACTCATCAAGTTACTTGCATTCATTGTCTACAAATTCTGTTCCTCTGCATGACATATAATTTGCCAGACAAATTGTCACCACTAAGAATCAATTTGCAAATCTTGGTAAGATTATAGGCATCTGGATAAAGGCCAATACAAAGTATGAGAAACAAGTTCTGTTAAATCTCTCTCCTCTCTCTCTCTCTCTCTCTCTCTCTGTCTCTGTCTTTCTCTCTCTCTGTCCCTTTCTCTCTGTCTGTCATTATTTTTGTACCTGATAGGTTTCCTGGCTACAGTGGAAGTGATTGCTCTTAGCAATCTTGAGAGCAGTTTTGGTTTCTGACTCAAGATAGTATCGTGTTCTAGTTGGAAAGTGGTCAACATGAAATAGAAATCTGGAGTCTTAGAAAGCAACATAGGGCACAACATTTTCAAGGACTTACTAAATAGGAAAAGAGGAGTAATGTATCTATGGCTCAAAATGCAGGACACATGGACGAACTACTAGGTGTGAGGTGATAATTGAGTGACTGAAGTACCAGTAGAAATCCTTCTGAAGCCCTAGAGATAGGGCCTCGAATCATGTTATCTACATACGTTATGCCATTTGTTAGAAGTTGCTTTACTTCTTCTCCTACAGGGGTTACAGTTCCTAAAAATAGCACGTAACTGTTGTTTGAAGTGTTAGAGTGACAAAGAAACTTATCGAAGGAAAGCAGAATTTATCTGAAGAAAAGGGTCGGTTTATTTAGTTTTGGAAGAAAAGGCTGAGTGCCAGCCTACTGTCTTCTGCTGGTAAGATTTTTATGCTTAGAGTCCGTGATGCCAGAGAATATATCTCTGTCCACTGGGGACAGATGGAAGGAGAAAGGATTTAAGCCAGTGCTGGTTCTCTGTGGAACAGGAACTAAAACAGACTTCCCAAGATGGCCTTTTCTGAAAATAAAGATGTCAGTACACCTTGTGCCAAGGAATTAGGCGGCACCTGAGCTTTAAGGGGACCACTCAGACAAACCTGCAAATCCTTTGTCTGCGTTACCAGGTTATTTATACTTTTTTGTCGGGAAATGATTTCTGGTCAAAGTGGATGATACGTTTTGTGTTCAAAGCAGGGTAGAAATGTACTTCTCTTTTATTTAATATTTTATTTATTATGCCTTAGAGTCAGTATTAATTTGTTTTATAAGCACACTTGATGGATCATCCAGTATCTATTTGTAGTTTTATGAAAATGGCAGTTGTAAAACTGATGTGCATCTGAAATATATGCACACATACACACACACACACACAAAAAAAAAAACAAAAACAAAAATGAACTTCAATCAGGCAATTGGGATTTCTACCTAAAACACAGGGAATACGGATAAAGGTTGGTTTGATGGAGTAGTTGATGAAATTAAAATAAAATGTCTTTATTTTTGACAATAGATGAAGGGTAGTTTCTTTCTCTTTTCTTTCCTCCCTTACTTTCTTTCTTTTTCCCTTTCTTGATTTGGGTGCTTGGGATCTGATTAAGGCTCACACATATGGGTGATCTACCCCTGAATTATATATCCTTATTACTGGACAATTAGTTTAGGAGCTAAAGCCAGCCAAATTTGGACATAATTTAAACAAACTAGATTCATTTCTTACTTTGACTTTCAAAAAACAAAAACAAAAAACCCAAAAGATCCACAGAAAAATTAATGTCTATGCATTTATTCATCTTAAGTGCTAGTAGTATTTCCAAGGACCAAGCAGGCAGTAAATCTTTATATTCTTTCTGAGGATTCATTCTGAATTGTCAACTAAAACTACCATGCCCAACTAGAATAACTATGTAGATAAAACAAAACAAAACAAAGGAACAACAACAACAACAAAAAATCCCATCCCACTATTGGAGGTATCTTGTACAGATCTTCCTTGAAGTGCTTACAAAATAGTAGGAAAGGCAAAGGAAACACTCCTACAATTTCGTTGATTTCCAGATTATCCTGGGATTTTGATCACATAACACCTACAATGTCTAATACTGCTCATTCATCAGCAACAGCAGTTCTGAATCAAGTATGGAAGCAATTAAGATGCCAATTACACAAAACTGCACAGTGGTCAGAGTACCAGTGATGCAAAGAAGAGGCCCAGACAGTAAGTTCTGAGGAATGATGGTTACTGGTGGAGACATGTTCATGCAACAAACATGCACGAGACGCATCACTGACATCATTTCCACAGCCACAGCCGCATGCACGGGCAAACACCACGCCAAAAGTTCGGATCCTCGCATCTACTGTGATAAGATAGCCAAAGCAGAATTGGATTTCAAATTTTTGCCAAACCCAAATTTATCCAGAGTATCTCCCGGTTAAATATTACCCTATGGTAGCTGTAAACCATGCCAGTGATTAGAATAATATAGAATACATTTTAAAATGATTGAAGTATAATAGAGAAAAAGTAGAAAATGACTCTCATGCAAGTACAGGATATACTACTACAGTAAGCTTAAAACCATACCCCCTGCCATCCAGGAACGTGAAACTAGTTTTAAGGAAACAAAAGAGGAACAAGTGAAGTGATGCTGTCATGGAGCCTTGATCATTCTATTTAATCTTGCACTCAAGAAAAGACAGAGTCCCTGCAACAGTTTATGTGCTTCTTTTATACTGGAATATATTCATCTTGACACTTGTTTCTTTCCAAATGGCTAGGAAGTGTCCACCGTCAATCTTACATCCTTTTGTTCAGGATAAAAAGGCGTTCATCATCACTTTGATGGCACAGTAGAGAAAGTAACCATGTCTCCAGCAAAACCAAGCCATGATGTCTCCACCAGGCACCTGGACTAGCTGAGGGCAGCATGGAGGTGTGGCATCAACAGGGCACACAGCAGGCAAGTTAACATGCCAAGTAAAGGGCACTTTAAGCATCAGATGGCGAATTTGAGTTTATACGTTACCTTTGACATTGCGACCATTGTCTGTTTTGAGCATATAAGGATAAAAGAGAGAGAAATATAAAACAGAAGACTAAAATTATGTTTAGCACACCAAACTGGCTTAGTAGAAACAATCAGAGAAACCAGGATTGGTAATACAGAAAATGGAATTTTGGCTGAGGTGAATATTATAGATCATCATTAATGAGGAGAAATGCACAAACTGAAATATCAGTCATGATAAACATCACAAATAACTGAAATACATCGCTGAATTTAAACAAATTGTAAGTAACTGATTTTGTAATTACAGCATTTTAGCGAAAGATCTGCACAGTTGCTGGCAATTGTGGTAATTTGCAACCTTGTCAAAAGCCAATCTTGATGTCTCCTCAGCTGGAGCTTGGAACAAAGGAAACCATACAACATTTTGTATGTCAAGTGTTTTCCATATACTTAAACCTAGGAATGTTAGTATGGACAGAAGTTTCTAAGACAATGGAATAATACATATTTGAATTATTTAGGATACTTTTGTTAGCTGTCCCTTTACCCTCAACTGTTCTTTACTGTATGCTTTAAAAAAATATCAGTCTTTAATGAATCATTCTTAGGCAAAAAAAAATAATAATTGCAACATATCAGTGAACACTTTATTGTATAAAAAGATTTTTCATTTTTTCTATGTAGCATAAAACCTAGAATATTTATACATTTGCTTATATTAAAGCAGGTGTTTTCAAATCTTGGCATAGTGTTTTCAGATTTATTTTGAGTAGAAATCTAAATGTTTTCTATGTGGTACTAAAAATATGTATTAATATGTATTACCGGCTTTGAAATACACAAGCTTAAAATAAATGAAGTCATAACAAACCCTTCAAATGTGTTCAAGATTTGATAAATTTATGTATTTATTGCCATCTATCTTATCACTATGCATATCTAAAATCTTGAGATAGACCATAATTGTCTCTAAGCTTATATTAAAAGTAATTCCAATATTGTGGTTTATGAAATTGTTAGAGAAGACATGGCCTTGTCAATACTATGTGCATAAAATGTGACTTTCAATGGCAACTTTTTCGTCTCTTTTAACAAGTCATTTTTAAAATAGGACCGTGGGACAGTTTTCTTTCACATAGACATGGTTTCCCCCTCACAATATTCCGCAGTCATTAGCAAATTAGTAACTGCTTTCCCAGTAGTTAGAAAAAAAATCATAAATGGAGCTGGGTTTGATCCCCAACACTGCTGAACACTGCTAATAAAATGCTCACTGTAGAACGCACATGCATGCACCCCCTACATACATGACCATGCACATGTGCTCATGTACACATGTGTACTCGCTAAGCCCAGATCCTATAAAGACACATGGCAACAAAGCTAGCAGAGTGAAGCTTTGACACTGAGGAAGAATGAGAAGTCTGAAGACTAAAATGAGTCAACAGTTCTTTGCTTTTTCTTCTATGCCCATCAGTGGTTTTATTTAATTCGTTGATTGGTTTTTTTGGCTAAATTTGGTCTGAAGTTAAAGTACAATACTATACATTTATTAGTCTGATGTCACATATCCACTGTGACATCTGTATTACCGACAATATGAATGTGCAGAACATAGAATACTTAGACTCCTTTGTAGTATTTTGGCAGTCTAACTTCACTGAATATAATGATAAACTAATTAAGATTTATATTTTCAATGTCTATCTTTTACTTTCCCTTTTATAATACTACATTTTTACTGAATTTTTATAGTGTTAATTTAGAACAGATCACAAAAAGACTCAGTTGTCTGTAACATGTGCCTTAGGAAGAAAAATTCCAAGGTACTTTACAATAGACATAAATAAGAAGATTATGTAAATATCGCCTAGCAATATGCTATAAAATATTTACAGAACTCTAAGGATAGAGCACTTAAGAGCACAGTTCTGTGTTGGAATGAGGACATTGCAGCTCTAACTCTTGAGCTTCTAGAATTTTATATCTTAATCATTTTCAGGGATTTATAAAACTAAAATCAACTGTGAGGGTTTTCCATCTATTGTTACGCATGCTCAGTTTCTCAAATATGTACAGAATTATATGGCCCCGGGAATGGAAGTTCCTTTAATGCTCATCACTGTCTTTTAGGTAAGATCATTTCAAGGTTGAAGTACTGCAGTTGAATGCCCTCTGAGTTTATCAGGCTGTGGCACACACTGACTGCGGTATTGGTAGGAGAGAAATACTGCCCAAAAGGGCCCAGCCCAAAGATGGGAGAAAAATTGAGAGTGAGCCCATCATCAAGCATCTATACACAGATCCTGTACTGAGAAATCTAAGAAATACCGTCACACTTTCCTATAACTGTCTTAGTAACTGTACTATGTGGAGGCCACCTGAGAGGAAAATGACAAACATAAGTTATAAAACCTGATACACAACACAATACTGAGAAGTTCCAGAGAAGCACAGGGGAAGGATGCAGGATGTGCTGAGTCTGAGAAGTTGCCTTTTCAAATTTATTATCATAAACTCAGTTTCCTAGGAGAAAACTCTGATGATTCTGTATGCTTGTTAAAGATGAGCATACTAACTGGTAGGGACCAACTAAAAGCATATGCTGTTTATTTGAAACACTACTGAATTTATTGTAAATCGTCCACAGGAGTCGTTGCTCAAACATCCAGTTACACAGGTTTGACTCAGTCAGAAAATACCGAACTCACCTCTCCTGGGTGAGGATCTGGGAAAAGGGACCTTTCAAGAATCTAATTCTACAAGGAATAGAGAAGAGTATCAGGCCTGCTACTGACTCTCAGACTCCTGGTCTTCACGTATATTGAAGTCTTCTGCAGTATGAACGATGGAAGCAGTCCTTGCCCTGTGGCAGTTGGTGACTTACTCATAAAGGGAGATTCAAACTGGCTCCTAACCTGTGAGAGTTGCCCTGAGGTTTAACTGAGACTTAATGTGTGTCAAACACTTACACTGCCTCAGGCATCCTAACTGGTCCATGTTACCTATTATCGTTCTAAAGATGGATGGTATCTGTGGTGGCTCTCAAAGCACACTTTTCACACTGGCTGCCTTAGGAATGTGAGCCAAGAGGCTAGGGAGAGAATAAAGTCTCACTCTGCTTTCCAAGTTGCCCAGTGAGTTTTCCCACTATTCTATCCCCTCCTTCCCACCTGCCTCCCACCTCTGATGGTCAGTAACAGTCCTGTGAGGGCACGCTGTTCTTTCGTTCAGGGTCTGATCATCTACTAAATTCAACAAAATTAATTATGCTTAAGATAAAAGAATTCACCACCTAATCACATCTTAAATTAAGCACTAATTAATTAACACCCCAGGAAGCGGGCTGATAATGGTTATACTATTTCAGAAGCACCGATAAAGAAGCCAGAAGAAACCAAATTACTCACTGGTGTTCAAAGAGGAAATGAGAAAAGATGCTTAATGCAAGATCCGTGTTCCTAATAGCTTTTGATCATATTTCTTCTTTGAAAAAGCAGATTACTGTTCAATTTTGAAACAATGCAAAAATAAACTTCCATCACCCAACCAAAAGAATGTTTCCATATTTAAAAAAGAATAATCAAACATACCTTCACTGGCATGTCGATCTCTAAATATGTTCTTGGGATGGACACTGAAGCCTTCTATATCGTGAACTGAAGATGCCCTCCGGATGCTGCAGAGGCTTTCCCTTGATCTGGAGTGTGTTAGTTGGGAACTTGACTGCAGCATGTCAGGGTAGAGGCGGTCCCATTGCCTTTTGGGAGAGGAATGGTCCAGAGGTCCGGATATGTTCACTAAGGGGGAACACTGGCTAGGCTGTATCAAGGCCTTTGTGTCATCTGCTTCAGAGGGACTGCAACTTTCTTTCGTGGGAGACTTAAAGTGTTTCATGGCCACAGAGTCATCGCTGTGTTTGGAGGAATCAATGACTACCACATCCGGGTCTTCCTGTGGCAAGGACTGCTTTCTGTATGTTAGAACTCTTAGCCCGGGAAATTTGAACCCAAAGAGTTTCCCTACAAAGGAAGACAGAAAAGAGTGTTTTCACACTGTCAATATATATTTTAAAACTAATAAAAACAATAAACACATATTGAAATATATGAAAGAACTGCTGTACTTAATACTATAAAATAACTATCTGTATTTATTACATTTATTACATTATCTGATGATAATGTATCAATTATTAATTGATTCTGCTTTAGTGAGAAATATTGTAAAAAAGTTTTCTGAGTATAATAAGATATATATATATATCTTGCTTTTGATAATTATGAAAAAGCTCAATGAAATGAAAACTTTATTTACATGACAGAAACCTTTAGTTTATAACAGATTAAAAACATGTATTCAGTAAAAACCCATAATTTAAACAGGAAAAGAAAGAACCTATGTCTTGTATCAAGGGACACACACAGGAATGAGTGGGTCTATGTGGGGTGTACATGGAGTGGTAAAAGTATTGATGGTAACAAAATAGTACATGAAGTGGGCTTGATACACTTGTAGTTTTGTTTTTAATAGTATTGTAAGTTCAGTCTGAGCGGCAAAAAGGGGATCAATGGTATATCAAAGGCTCTCAATCCATCTGGTAGTTTTGAAAAGTTATAATGTCAAATGTTTCCCACCTTATTTTCTTCTATAAAAGTCATGGAAACTAATCAACATGGACACTGTTGTTTTTTGTGCATGGACTTCTCAATCCATTGAAGATGGATTCTAAAACACAAGGGAACCTTGCTCTAAACTCAGCATCTTCTCTCCATTCTGAAAACATGCATAGCGAATGATGTTATCTATCTATTTATTTTTAATCCTATTCTTAACCCAAATACTGTAAATTTATGTCTCCAGTCCAGATTTTTACTCTGAGTTCCAAACTTGTGTGTCTAAAACTGGCAACATTCCCTCTTAAAAAGTTGCAAGTTATCTCAGATTCTTAGTCCACATTCCAATCTCCTGATATAGCCTTCAAACTCAGCTATTTTTCAGAGCAAATGGCACTGTAATCCATCTAGTAGGTTAAGTTCGAGGCTTGAGGGACATCCTCAGTACTGTTTTCTGGCCTCATCTTCTAGAACCCATTAATATCAACCTCTTGATTGCATTCATTTCACTTTTCCCATCATGTTTTTTATGTTTACACCTTTTTCCCTCAGTCTAATGGCCCAGCTGACCCCTTGGTATAGAACGCTGGTCACTTGTTATACTTGCAACAGCGTTTCTTGTTCATCTCTCAAAGACAATGAGTTTTATGTCCTCAAACATTCACACTGGACAAAGTAGACTACTCTCACTTCTCTTCATAAGTTCTTACTTAGAGAGTGAAGACATATAATCTCTACCCCATCCTTGGACTCTAGAATCCAGCCACGACGTCTTTTATATTCCTTTGGACGCCCACGCTTCTTTCAGACTCTGGGCTCCCTTCTGTTAGATCATTGCCTTTTGTCTACTTAGTTGCTCCTGCAGGTTATAGTCCGGAGGAGTTTCCTCAGAGAGGCTTTTCCTTCCCTCTGAACCACGCTGACAGGTCTTCACAGTTTTCACTGCATAACGTAATGATAGACTCAGTGATTTCCCGATGAACACTTCTCTACACCCTTGTAAGGAAGACCTTGTTGGTTTTGCCTCAGTTTAGACAAACTTCCCTGAGCTTGGCAATGGAGTTATACAAACACATAATAAACTGAGTTGATAATGTGCTTGGTTTGGATTAAAATACGTAATTACTCTGATCTTCATACTTATGTAATCTTAGCCTCCTGGAACTGTATCGACTCCTATGCACTTTGCAATTGAGTGGAACTAAACACATCACGGGAGCTCTGATTGCTGAGTTTACACAAGTGTTTTCTTGTCTTGCATCATCTAGGAAAATATAGATAGATAAAATGCTTGTTGGAGAACAATTTAGAATGAAGCATAATTTATTATGCCAGTGTCGCATTTGTAGTCTAGGAGTTAATAATGCTCAAAGTAATGGAAATAGGATTTATTTCTCTAGTAAAGTGTGATGACACAAGACAAGTATATTAAACATATTGTGGATTAATATGCGAAGATGAGAGCAACCAATCTGCACAAATAAGATTAGCTATCAGTGCAATACTCTAAGTGTTTTGAAAGCATTTTTTTACATGTTTCTACTAACAGTTTTATATGCTCAAGTCAATTGCTAAGCTCAAAATCAGTGAGCTGCATCAAAGCCATTTGATTAGTGCTTAATGCACATGAAATTGAGTTACAGTTTACAAATCAATTTTGCAAGTTTTATTACAATGCATTGAAGGGCGATGCCTACTTTTACTCTTTTTCATCAGTTACATTGCACCCTCCCCCCCTCAAAGAACACCCAGTAGCTCTCTTAAACTAATGACCACACAGGCGTTTATTTTGCTCCTGTAGTTACTTGCAGCCAAGGTGGTCCAGATGGTCTTTTCCGCACCACTAGGTTAACACAACCATGTTGTATTGCATTCTGGATTTAGTTGTCTCCGTGTAGTTCACGCGGAAAGAAGGCACATTGAGAAATTGGATGCGCCGCTATACTTCCCTAAGGCATGGAATTTAAAACGTAGGTAAGTGTAGCACTGCTGTGCCTTTTAACTCTGCAAAATGTCTTGCTAAGTCTTCAGGTTTTATTAAGTTTACTTTCTTACTTGGATAATTAGATTTTATTTAGTCTCATGTCGGCTAAAATAGTAAACCTGAAATAGGAAAAAAAAAGCTCAACATCTATTCACAACTCTTATACATTGTCAGATAAGGACAAATATTGATAAATTACTTCTATGAATCTAACTTTGCTTTAATACAGAATTTAAATAACAAGTGCTGGTAGCTATGTACATTAGAAATGATCTTTCTTGGGGAAAAACGAATATTCGTACAAAAGATTTTCACCTAGCTTTTAATCATTAATCTTTCTTACAACTGCAAATTTTTGTTTGCTTCATTCCATTTATCATCATTTTACAAAATTATAGAACATTGATGGTCTAAGAATTTTACTACTAAAGCACAATATGTGGCTTAAAACTTGCCTAGTTGTTCCTGGTTGAGTCTTGTACCAAGAGGAGAGATCCTTAAGTGTGAATTGTTATGTAAATAGAGCTACCTTTAGGTGTGGCAAGGATAACTAGTGTGGAGGGAAATGGAGCAGAGAGAAGCAAGGAAGGCTGCCAGCATTTCTTTTAGTAAAGGATTGAAAACAGACTTGCTGGGCAGTGGTGGAGCAAGCCTTAACACCAGATACAAGTATTTTTCTGTGAGTTCGAGGCCCTCCTGGCCTACAGATGGAGTTCCAGGACAGCTGGGGTTACACAGAGACGACCTGTCTCATTAAAAGAGAGAGTGAGGGGGAGAGAAAGGGAGGGAGGGAGGAAGGAAGGAAGGAAGGAAGGAAGGAAGGAAGGAAGGAAGGAAGGAAGGAAGGAAAGAAGGGGTTGCTTTCAGGCCTTACTGCTTTTCTAAATCTGCCCTGTATTCCTTGTACAAGAAGACTCAAGATTTCAGGATTGCGAGGTGATCTTAAACTCTCTGCTGCATATTTGAAGCCTCTTGCATCTCTACATCACCCAGTCCCTGGCTACAGCCCTTGGGAAAGCCTACTCCTACCTATAAGCAGTATCCACAGACCAACTGAGAGGCAGTTTGGTGTGTGTAACAATTGATACTTTCAGTAATTTTGCTATTACAGTCAGGAGCATAGTGTCTTGTACAAAGAATGGGAAAAAGAGCCACCTTTAGTTCTGAAAAATAACATCCAATGTGTAGTTAGGTCTGATCAACTGGCTATCCTGAGTACTCAATTATAAATGGACCAGTGTAGTTTGGGAGCTACAAAACAAAACAAAACAAAACAGAATAAAACTCCTTGGAGTCCACTGGCAGGCAGCAAAGTTGAAGCTAAATATGGGGTTCCTTGAATGAGCAGATATGATCAGTAGAGACATGTAAGACTAAGTCTCCAATGATACAACCTAAGAGCAGTTGATGCAGAGAAAAAGCAAGATCGCACAAAGGAAGGGAGAAGTGAACAATGGACCAATTACGATATTGAAGTGATGTGAGTTGCAGAATGCTGTGTGAAGGTCAGGGGTCAGCTAGGGCTGCATCCTGGCATGAGAACAGTTGCAGCAGCAGCAACAGCAGCAGCACACTCCTCTCAATTTGTTAAAGATTTCTACTGGTGTCTGAGAAGCCCTGCTTCCACTCTGGCAACATCATCATGACAGCAAAGGAGGCAGCAAGCAGAGATTTGGACGAGGGAGATAAGCAAAAAGACAGGGTAACAAGATTGACTGCTTTTAACCACTCATTCACTAAGGAGACAGGGAACGAGGGTAATGCACCAACATTACATATGCCTAATCACATCTCCATGTGCTTGAAATAACCACTAAGTCAATAAATGCATGATTTTTACCATACTATTATTAAGTTTCTCTCGGGTATATATAGTTTCCTCTCTCCAAATGCCAAGTTAAAGAATCAGTTCAGGTCTCCTGGATGTGATAACATCTTAACATATGTTGATTATGGGTGATCATGTAGCCATCATGCTGATGGGAGCTCTAAACAGAATGTTCAAAGCATTCACGAGATATGGTCCAGTTTCCCAAATGCTGGAAGGCTAGAGAGTGTCCCTGATTTTCATGTTGCTAGGTAACAAAATATTCCACAAGATGCTTACAAGGGGGACTGGCTATGCTTATGCTGACCTGGGTGCTGATCAACATCCCTTATTAACAAAGTACATACTTTCCTCCCCCCCCCCAATAACAAGCATTTCAATTGATCTTAGATATATGTTCTTTACTCGTATAATGGGGAAACTATGACATAAATTTGACTGAACGCTTTCCCTATTTGTTGTTGCAACAATGTCATGGTTCCTTTTTCTATATCAAATTTAATCCTTAAAGAAAAAGACTTTCAAAGGAAGGATGAAAGTAAACATTAGTTACATTGTGAAACCTTTAATTAAATTCCGTTCAATAGCAGACCG